GAAATAGCTGTCCTCTGGAGACCACTGGAGGTAGCCTTAGAAATATTGTCATACATTCTTGAACTATAGACAGAAAATAAAGTCAGTATTTCCATTATTTGTCTCATTGAAACTTTGGCATCATTTTTTATTGTGAAAAATACACAATATGCTTGATTAAAATAAAGAGATGTAACAAACATTAACAGTGTTTCAGTATCTATTTGGTGTAATATGAGAGAGAGGGCCAAGCCTAATTGGTTGAGTTTAAAATCATTCACTGATAATTGAGAAACTGGTGACTAATTTAGGGAACTTTGCAGCCGACCTGCTTCCTCAGTTTGTCAAAATGCATTTAGAAGAAGGGAGGAAATCACAGGCTGTTATTCAAAATGTGGAGTCAAAATGGGTGCAGTGAGGATATTAATCCTTCTGATTTTACTGGAATTAAAAGAGACAGAACCAGGTGAGTCACTAATCTATAGATCAGACCTCTCTAACATCCATTTACTGATGCGCTGTCCTGAAAGGTGAATATTTAAGTCCCTTATTTAAGGAATCTGGTCTAATGATAGATGAGGTAATTTTTTTCTATATTATTATTGGTAAATAGTGGCATATTTAGTCAAAGTGGGGAAGTACAGCTGAAGTTTATATGGCTGTCTTTTAAACACCTTTCTTGTCTGAAGCTGGTGAAATTTTGTCTTTTTTTATTCTGAATATTCAGTGTCTCCTCATAAATATGTACCCAACCTGTCACTGTGTTGTCCAGTCAGATTAAAAGACTTGTTACTGATTCCCAAGGGGTGTGACCTCCAGAAGTTGTCAGATATTTTCAGGTAGAGTAAAGCAAATGGAGTGAAGCATTTTCTCTCCAGAAGACCAGACTTGTAGACATGATTAAAAGCTACATATGTTATGTAAAAGTTTTACATCTTGCTATGCTTTTATTTTGTCTCTTAGTATGTTTTATAGTGTTAAAGACTCATTGAAGAGTCTGAATGTTATAGAGTTCAGAATTTGCTTACACATATCACTTGCCCCCATCCAAAAAAATGATAAAGAAATAAACATATATAAGTCCCAAAAGCAGCTGATGTAGTTTTGGTTCCTCTCTGGTTGGCAAAACAGAAACATTTCTATAAGGAAGCAGAAAATCTAAAGTGAATGTAAACACATTCATTCAACTCTAATTATTTTTCACTCTTCAGTCATTTAGGTTAATTAACTTATTATATTTTAATAGAAAGCCCACGTAAATCCAACATGCAGTTTTCAAAATGAGGATTTAAATTCTTAAGGGGAAAAAGCTTTCCAACCCAATCTGGGTTTAATTGAAAAGCTTTTTGCCCCTAAATTTATTAGCATTTATGCTTCTGTAATTGGCTATAACTCCACTGACCATTTGCAATGATAAAAAAAACACAGATTTTTATCACTGTGAAGGAGTTTCTTTGCAGAATTGTTTTAATTCAGGCAGAATGGGGGATTTTCAAACATTTAAGTTCATGCCACAGCATCTCAGTTGGTTTTAAGTTGCTACTTTGAGCAGGAAAGTCATAGACTTTTGTTTTTTTAAAAGTGGACTTCCTAATCTGGTTTGCATTGTTGTCCTTCTGCATAAAGTTGAGTTTAAGTTTACAAAATGATGGGCGGATGTTCTTTATGAAGGAGAAAGTAGAATTAATGGCTCTAATAAACTACTGACAGTCACCCAGGTAGAAGCAGCCCAAGACCAACACACTGCCATCATTATTGGCTTGTTCTTCATGAAATGGTATTTCAGAAAGGTTCATTCAATGCTTATTCATTAGTAAGCAAGTCAGGCAATTATCTTTTTGTTTTTATATAACTGTTTTCCTTACAAAGACGCGAAAGCAAAAGTAGGGGATAAATGATTTTTCACAGCAATGTGTGCTGAAAACCTATTTATCAATTAGAAACCAAACTGCTCTTCCTCTTTGTAAAAATATTCAAAACTTCTAAAGAAACCCAGATGCCTTTAATGCAGCTCGAAGCTATTGTTTTTATGTGTTTGAAATGAATTTTTAAATACTGGATATTTTTGTGAACATGATCAGCAGGGACCCATTAAACACACATTAGTTAATGGTTTTAATACTGCTTCAATTTTAACCCACTTATGTTGTGAGTCTTTTATTACAGTGATCCACTCTCTGAGGTATTTCTACTCAGCATCTTCAGGATTACCAGACGTCCCATCGTACATGTCTGCTGGTTTTCTGGATGATGTTCAGATCAGTTACTGTGACAGCAGAAACAACAGAAACATTCCCAAACAGGACTGGATGAACAATGTTAGCTCAGATAATTCACATTACTGGGAGGAGGAAACTCTAACATGTCTGGCTAAACAGGAAACTCTCAAAGAAAACATTGAAATTGCAAAACTGCGTTTAAACCAGACTGGAGGTTTGTTCAAGTTTCACTTCTTACATGTCACATGATTTACTTTAACTGCTTTTGCTAAAGTTTCATTAAACTGATTTTTAAATAATGTTTCCAAACTCCTTTTACACTCTTCAGAAATGTTTCTGAATAAGAAAGAGAATTTTTCTTGACATTAAACTATTGACATTTTTACAGTAAACATTAAATTTAGACATTAGAAACTGTGTTGTAAACTTACTGACTGCTGTCTCTTTGTCTCAGGAGTTCACGTCTACCAGCACATATACGGCTGTGACTGGGATAATGAGACAGGACAGGTCAAAGGGTTTGCTCAGATAGGTTATGATGGAGAGGATTTTATAGCTCTGGACCTGAACACATCATTATGGATCGCTGCAAAGCCAGAAGCTGTCCTCACCAAACACAAGTGGGATAAAAATAAGTATGCTTTACAATATGAGAAGTTTTACTTCTTAAAAGTTTGTGTTGAGTGGCTGAAGAAGTATGAGAGAAGTGGGAGGAGATCTCTGATGAAAACAGGTATTACATCCAGTTTCACATACACAACTACATTTACATGGTCTCAACTCTCAGGTAAATGTTTTTTGTTTTGTGTTTTTCATGCTCCTCAGTTCTTCCCTCAGTGTCTCTCCTTCAGAAAACGTCCTCCTCTCCAGTCAGTTGCCTCGCTACAGGTTTCTATCCCAACAAAGCTGAAATATTCTCGAGAAAAGGTGAAAAACAGATTCATAAGGGAGTGGAAACAGGAGAAATCCTCCCCAACAATGATGGGACCTTCCAGATGAGCGTTCACATCGATCTGTCATCTGTTGGACCTGAAGACTGGAGCAAGTATGAATGTGTGTTTCAGCTCTCTGGAGTGAATAGCATCATTCATAGACTGGAGAAAACAAGAATCTTGACCAATGAATGTAAGTAATTATTTAAAATGCCACATTTATTTATAATACTTGTTAATTAAAAAAAAATCTGTCTACCTTGTTTATGTTTTTAGCCCTAAAACTAAAGATTTACCTTCAGTTTTAAGGCTTAGAATCAAAAGCAGTTTTTCTTTCTGAGGTTTGTTTTAGATGGATGTACTGAAAGATAAATGTTAAAACAAGTGATTTGCTGCTAAAACAATCTGCTCCAGTTGTTTATGCATCTTTTTATTATTAATCAATGCCAAATTCAACAAAACCTTTCCAGTTAATTAATGTTCATATTTCAGGTTATATAAGATTTTAATTAACAACATTATAACACTTGAAAGTTGCTGTAAATTATTAATGAAATAACAACTTACAATTATAGTTACTGAAAGAAAATACATTGAGGGCTAGAAACTGGAACAAAAGATGAACAAAACAAAAACCTGATCATGGTGTTTAAATGAACTGAGATGAAAGATATGAAAAAACCTGTGACTGTAAACCAGGGGTGTCCAAAGTCGGTCCTTTACGGCCGGCATCCTGCATGTCTTAGTTCTCTCCCTGGTTTAACGTACCTGGAACAAATGATGCTCATTAGAGGCCTAATAGGAACATTGACCTGCTGAAAAGGTTGTTACTCCCACCAGGGAGAGAATAAAGCATGCAGGATGCCGGCCCTTCAGGATCAACTTTGGACGCCCCTGGTTTACATGATTGTAACCTGGTTTGTTTTCTCAACAGCAAATACCAGCATTGTGATCATCGCTGTTGTTGCTGCTCTGGCTGTTCTTGGTCTCATTGCTGTGATTGGATTCATTGTCTACAAGAAGAAGAACGGTGAGTTGGTCAATTTCTTTCTTTTTTTCTGTATTTTGATTGTTGAGCTTTAACAAGTGAGAAACAGACCTGCTTAAACATTGAAGCTTTATATTAACTTTAGACAGTGTCACACTGATGTTAGCCATGATTTAGACCTACGTATTTATCTTAGGTTTAAACCAAA